ATAGTATAATATATATATATAGTATAATATACTGCAATAAATATACAGCACCATTGGGATACTTTTGAGGTTCATACCGATTCTTTAGAAAAGTGACGGGTAAAGCACCCTCCAGGTTGATGTTAGTGCACCAAATTAATCACCAACTATTGAACAAACAGCTGTTGTTATTTTTGAAAACATTGATCAACATTTTTGCCTTTTTGACTGAACCAGTAACTGAATCATAAGCTATTTATATTTGTGCACTTTTTGGACTGTCATTTTGAAATAATGTGCAGTTTTTTAATAAAGGGATGGAAATTAAAATGTCAAATAATTCTGTCTGATTCATCAATGGATAAAAAATGACAAATTAATTGATTACTGAATAGTCTGTTGCAGCCCAAATGTACATGCATACAATTCCAACAAATTATATAAATAAAAGATATCACTGAATTTATATTTTTGTCGTTTAATATTGATTTTCATTTGCTGATATGGGCTAATCATTTAGGTAGTGAAAAAATGGATTTTATAACAAAAAACAATATTTTCATGATCTCAGCGTTCTCAAAGGCTTTTTGGCACATATTTTGTAGCAAAAAAAAACGTGAATTAGATGCAGATGATTTGATTTATGGGCCACATAAAGTGGTGCGCAGCGGGCCTTATCTGGCCCCCATGCCCTGAGTTGGACACCCCTCGACATGATTACTTGGCCAGAGTGCGATAACGTGCGCAAAGCATGTCCATCATACCTGCGGTTGGGCTAATCATTTAGGTAGTGAAAAAATGGATTTTGTAACAAAAAACAATATTTTCACTATCTCAGCGTTCTCAAAAGCTTTTTGGCACATATTTTGTAGCAAAAAAAAAACGTGAATTAGATGCAGATGATTTGATTTATGGGCCACATAAAGTGGTGCGCAGCGGGCCTTATCTGGCCCCCATGCCCCGAGTTGGACACCCCTCGACATGATTACTTGGCGAGAGTGCGATAACGTGCACAAAGCATGTCCATCATACCTGCGGCGGGGCAGTTGTTATTTGTCTTCTGCTTGGCATTCTGCCGCGTCTCCTTCATCCACGGGAAGATCTGCTTGGTCAGGGCGGGTGACGCGTTGCTGCTCCCCGGCGGAGGCTTCTTCTTCTGAGGCGCGGTGCCGGTGGATCCCGGCGAGGGTGGCAGCGGGGCTCCGGCTTGCTGCTGCTGCTGCTGCTGCTCGGTGACACTCGGCGCTTGGCTGCTGCCGTTGCTATTGGGGTTATTGTTGCTTTGGCTACCGCCACCGCTGCTGCTGCTGCTTTGCCGCATGCAGTCCCCATTTAAGTCACTCTCTTTGAGGGTCAGCGGCCTGACTGCAGGGGTCTGAATGGGGCACACGGAGCCCTGGTAGTCCGCGTCGATGTTGGCCGCGGGGTAGGGCTGGTGCGTGTAGTTGTACGAGTCAGCCTTGGGGTAAGTGTAGCCCCCGAAGAGTCCAGAGTTGTCGTAGTACGTCGCTTTCTGCATTGTTGTTGGCTCACTCAAAGACAATCACGCAGGGAGCGTCTCTCCAATGGCATTAGTGGCGGTGCTTGTGTAATTTTTCAGGTGATTGGCCTCCCCCACTTTGGCTCCAGTCTGTCACCTATGCACCCCAAAATATGACGCAACATATTTGAAGGTTCAGAAACTCATATATCGTACTTCCCATGCAGTCACTCAAAGGTGTGCGTTTCAGTGATGCACGTTCCAGCGCCAGTTAGGTCCTTGTTCAATTTTTTTTTTTTTTTTTTTTGGCCACACAAAACAGTTAAAGTTTAACTTCAGCTCCAAAAGACTCTCTGTGGGGCTTCGGTGTGAAGCTGAATCAGCATTTGACACAGCAACACACAAAGGCCTTTTCACTTATCACAAGCTCTGACAAAAGCGAGTTGTGCATTGTTCAAGATGGAGAGACGCTCTCACTCACATGGATCTTCCAAAATACGATAACTATATTGATGCACGAAATGCATTTGTGTGTGTGGGGGGGAGGGAGGCATACTGTGATCGTCGGTGTGGGCGTGGTTGGCACAATTGTATATGATCTCAACACACCTTGCATAATCGAATACAATTGAATACTTAACAGTTGAAGCACAGAGACGTTGCATTTCAATTTTAGCGTGGCATGTGCAGCGGTGTACAATCTTGTTTCTAAATTTTTGCACAAAAAATATAATTATTACAAACCTAATAATAATTATTATCATCATCATCATTCTATAATGATGATGATTATTAATATAATCATTATTATTTTTCTTATTATTGTTGTTGTTGTAATGACGTCCCTTTCCCTTGTACATTTTCTTGACTTGCACACACATTTCCCTTCAAAAATAAACAGTGTGTGTGTGTGTGTGTGTATACATATATAACGGCCAAATATGGTGAAGAATTAATTTTGCACAGCCGACCAGGTCGTAATCGGCGTCCTAAAGTCACCTCGTAAATATCAAAAGCAGACTGCGTCGTGTATGTTGGTGGTAGTACTCGTCGTGCTGCATAACAATTGCACCTGTCACTGTGAGCCACCGCGGCAAAATTTATGAGCGCAAATGTGCGCGTCTTACACGCAAAGCAAAACACACACACACACACACATACACACACACACATACACTGCACTCGACTACAAGTGCAAAACAACGAAGCGTAGGTGGAAGGCAGGCGAAAGAATTTCATATGGTGCCGAGTTGCTCATACAAAAGTGGGCCGGTTGCTGGCAGTGACGCAGAATTTTAGGCGCCATCGAGAAGATTTGCGTGAAAAATAATTTTTTAAAAAAGGAAGATTCGTTGTTTTACGTTTGCATGTTTATTGTTCGATTGGACGACGTGTTGCAGTTCCTCGGATATTGGAGGCGAATAATGACATTTCCATGCCTCGTGTCTGCGTGTTTAGGTCATTGAAGGTTCACTTTATGTTGTGGGGAGGGGAGGAAAAACAAAACAACAAAAGGCTTTGTTTGTTGTGTGTATATGTGTGTGTGTTACTCACCCAAATCTGCGCAAATGTCTGTGACGTCCTCTAAAGATACATCTCCCTTCCCAGCTCCACCTGCAAAACACAAGTACAATTTCTCACCGCACCAATCGTGCATATATTGTGCAAGAATAAACATTTCTACCCGTGACAAATATATTTTTTTACATCCCCTTGAAATAACCCTTCGAGTCGCTAAAGCAGCGTGTCACGTGACGCCTTCAACCGCTCGAAAAACTACCGCGTGTGCACTTTTAAACACAAAGACGATATTTAGCAGCCATAAGCTGTTTTTGCCTGACCTTTGGGTCATGCGGCTTTGAAATAGACGTTTAATGAACAACGAGGAGCCGTTTGGAAGGCTTTAAGTAGAAGCCCGAATTGCGCAAAAAAAAAAAACAACGCCAACGACGCTTCACACCCGGCGGCGAGAAATTCGACCGCGTTATGGGAATGGATGGCTAAAATACGGCTCGGATGTGGAATTATTTATCAAAGCGGGTCGATATAGGGCCGCTCGAGTGCTTCGGCCCACTGGGCGACTAGTAGCAGACATGCTCGCCTATTCAAGGCGCAGTGTTCCTCGCCTACGCGCTGCTACGGTAAGTTTGCTCCACACAATGGGCCCGACATCGCGTCGACACTTATTATCTCCACGATGGAGTACCGAATTATTTGCAGGGAAACGTCAGAGGAAAAAAAATAGAATAAATAACAACTAGTCATGAGTGCTGCAGTGAAGTTGGACAACCGCCGTTCATCTGAAATTTGGAACTGCTCTTTGTGTAAACTGCAGCCATTAAAAAAAAGCTGCGTTATGATTAAAAATCACGCTTCCGATTTAAATTCCTTCATGTGGAAATAAGAAGAATCAAATTGTAATGCCGACTTTTTAAAATTAAAGGCCATCGCGGCAGAAACTGAGAAAACGGTCTGTAAATCGAAACGCTTTTCCTTTGTCCGTAAATCCCAACACATGACTTGAGGTTTTTTTTAACAAAGCCGCGCAGCTCAAACCACATAAATCACGCCGAACGCCATTGTGACGATAAGACAACAAATTAATGTGATTTACGATCCGGGAGTCAAAAAGAAGAAAAGTGCCTTCTACTTCTCCCTTCGTGATGGCTTTCGTGGAAATGAGCTAAAAAGTGCACCGGGTTCCGTCTCCATCATATTTGGCTTTTCTCCTTCCCAAAAATTGCGAAGCTTCTTTTTTTTGGGGGGGAGCTCTGCATCCACTGCATCCGCGAGCGCTTTAACGAGTGTCCTCCGCCTCCGCGTGGAATAAATCACGCTTGCATCAAATTAACCTGCTTAAAGGTTGCTTTGCGCCATGCAGCTGCTTACCTGTGCGCGTCAATTCATCATTTACAGTAAAAAAAAAAGAAAGAAAAGAAAAAAGGGATGGTGAGTTCGCTCTCCGACTCCTTGTCGAATAAATCCTTCAGCCTCCTTTTGTGTGCACACAATGCTGTCCTAAACCTGATCTTGCTCTTTTGCAGACATTTCCATACACCAGTGGAGACAGTATTCCCGAAAGAGTGCGAGGACTCAGCTACCAATAAACAGCCAACATTGGGTATCCTTATTTCTGCACAGCAAGGAAAGGAGGGGGGGGGGAGAAAAAAACCTCGCTGGCAATCAATCAGCAAGTGAAATAGCAGGAATTCAAGTGTAAGGCCCCGTATAGATTTGAGACCTAAACAGTAGAATATTTGCTTTGGGGAGGAGGGGGGAGCTTTATGATGACAAATAAAGGCAGTGCCCAGCAAGATGCGAGCATATTTGTCCACGTGATTTGTTCTTCCTCCACCTCAGCGATCCATTTGGACACAAAGGCTGCGTTCACATTTATTCCATTCACAAAATCTGCACGTTTCAAGTTGTAAACCTTTTTTTCTCGGGGGGGGGGGGGCACGCTACTCATTTTACATATGACAAGCCATCTGGAAAGGTAAGGCCATTGTTCTCAGCACTGACAGGGAGACAACAAGCGTGTCTTCCAACAACACAGCCAATGAGAAAGCATTTGTGATGAAGAAGGTTTTTTTGGAAGGCTTTTGGGCTTGCTGTGAAGAAAAAGATTCAGCATATGTTCACAGGGTCATAAAAGTGAAAGATTTACAGTTTTCGAGCCCCCCCCACCCCCCTTTTACCCTCCACCCCTCCTCCCCTTTCTCCCACCCTCACACCCTTTCAGGAATTACATGGGAATGATTTACAACCATGCACAAGTGTCAAAGTTCCATTTCTACCCATTTGTGAATCGTACTTGAATTGATGGCAAATGAAATTGATGCACATGCACGCCCGCACCCCCCAAAAATCCAAAATCAAGTGGCCACGCAAGATGCAGTAAATAATCAGACCTTACCCGAGCATCCATCGGTTCGGATGTGTCGCTCCCGACGCTGCTGCGCTGCTTAGAAGGTATTATTGTCCCCCCTACCCCCCCTCTCCTTCGGAAGATCTTTTCAGTTTTTCAAGTCTAGATAGAGTCCTCGCGATTAATGACGACGCCGAGCTTCGAGGGGGGCAACGGGGAGCTGCATTAATTATCCGGGCGGTCACGTGATTTGCAGGGGGGTAGTGGGGTAGGGGGGGTGGTGTTAGCAAGTTTCCAGCGAGATGCTGTCGGCGTGGATTTTTTTCTGCGAATGCCTCCCCCCCGAAAAAAAAAAGACGACGCGCTGTTGTTAAGAGGCGAGGAAGGCGGAGGGGGAGGAGAGGAGAGTCAAATATGGCCGGATGGGGAGAAGCAGCAGCGGGGAAGCAGCCTTGGCGCATGCGGCTGTCATTGCAAGTGGCAACGCGCCTTCGGCTGCCATTTATTGGCGCTCGCCCATGTAGGTCAGCGCGGATGCTCACCCCAACACGTAGTAGTCCAATCACACACTTTCCTATAGATGTGAATGCTATCATGGGGGGGGGGGGTCGCCCTGCATATATACGATGCGTTCAAGGACATCACTTTGATTCGATTTGGAGTCAAATACAGGAGAGCGTGCGATTGTGTGTGTGTGTGTGTGTGTGTGGGGGGGGGTCCACATGTCTTGTTCGAGGTCTCTCGTGTGATATTGATATGAGCCGCAACAAGGTGTGTGGCCTTTCTCTGTTGGTGCCATTTGAAATCACGTTGGGGATTTTCATGGGACTCGAGAGCAAGTCATCGGGTCTCACTTGAAATCATTTTATGTGGATTTTATGACCACATGTTTTCCAAAAAGTCACTCAACGTTTACACCAAAGCACACACAGCGCAAGCAGTGCGATTTGGTATCTGCTTGCTTGCATGCATGCTCTTTTTAAGGCATTTATTTTCATTTTTATACTTTTATTTAACTGTCATCTTGGCTGGATGCAGTCTTCACTGCTCTCGTGAGCGCGTCATTCGTCGTAAAATGCAACTTTGCTTGCGTTTAAATGAAAATGGTAGTTTGCACGCTGTAAAAAAAAAAAAAAAAAGTTGAGCAGATTCAAAATTTCAACTCAACTCAAGGCTATCCCAGTGTAGATAAAATTTAAAGTTGGACAATTTCAAAAACATATTTTTTAGTTTTGCTCGTGAAAGTTGGCTTTCTCGTATTGTCAACAAAGAAATAAGCATTTACAGAACACATTTTCCCTTGTATTGTCCCCACAACTTAAAAGATATGTAAAAACAACTTAGCAAATTGTTTTGGAGCAAAAAAAAAAAAAATTGCTTGTTTTGCTACGCTCACTGACATTGTTGCCATAGATGTCAATGATGTACATTTTAATGTTGTCCCAACACAAATTACTGTCTTAGAAAAAAAAATCAAGTTGTGTTTTTGTCCAGTGCAGCTCATTTTGGCCCCTTTTAACTGAATCAGATTTACTTAAATAGCATATTCACTTCAAGCTGAAGGTTTCCGTCTCACCTGGCAATTTCTGCCTTGCAAGTCTTTGCAAATGTGTTTTTCTTTTTTTTTTGTGCTCACTACTTTACAAGACTGCGTTTGTTTTACAACAAAGCTTTTTTTTTAAAGGGACCGAAGAGAAATGAGGAGAGACTTCAAGCAGAGAGAAAATGGGTCAATATAGTGTAGAACGTATTATTGCAGAAACGGACCGTTTCCACATGTATGCAACGTATGTTTTTTTTTATTCCTGAAGCATTTTAGTCAACGTTACGAATCAATAAGAGCAACCAAAACGCGCACATTTGGCCGATGTTTTCCAAAAGCGCCCGTGCATGTGGCACCTCAGGCGTCAAAATCGAACCCCAAAAAACTATTTGGTAAATATTTTCAAGCAACGCTGACACACAATTTTTTTTTCAAGCACTCGTTTTGTTTTTTTGTTTTTTTTGTTTACAAATTCCTCATTTGAACGATTGAATTGAATTGACGGAAATCAGACACGTTTCTCTTTCTGCCATCATTTAAATGCATAATCAGTAGAAATCTTTATTTGTTTTCCAATATACTTCTCACATCCCGATGCACAAATACAAGGTAGAAAGCATGTACAAAAATAAGACCAGTAAAAGACATTGCGTATTGACAATGACGCATCTATCGGAACATCAGATACTGAGTCTTTTTTTCAGGAGGTGGGGGGGGGGGCTGTAGAAAGAACTCCGTTGTAGAAATCACGCACATCGACTCGCTTTGAATGCTTCACGGAGTTGTTTGTGACGACGAAAAGGGAGAAAATGCAGCTCGTTCGGCCGGGTCAGGGGTGTCGGGGTCATCCCTCGCGGCTTGAGCGTGTCCCCTGGATGAACCTGCCACCGACCTTCGTCTCAAATACCTCCCCGGCAAGACCTCCACGAGCTGGGACAGCTTTCTGGGCCTTCTCTTGTCTTTCGGACAATGACGGGTTTAAAACAAAACCGGGGGAGAAAAAAAAAGATTTTTTTTTCTCTTTCTTTTTTTTTTTTTTTTAACCTGGCATGACACCCTCCACTCCTTTGTGTAACTAAAGACAAAATACATTCTCACATTAAACTAAGACGACGTAAAGCCATGCACAAATAGTGTCCTTTGTAAAAGATGACAAGAAGGAATAGCATTCACTTCATCGTGTGCGCGCGCGATACAAAAAAATGTACAGCTTTTTTAATGACCAATAAATAAAAATTCAACAATTCTGCTAAATATTCGCAAGTATTTCAAATGAACTCGGCGTCATGCGGGAAGAGTTTCAAAAAGAAACTGGCGTGGCGCAGAGGAAAATATGAACAAGGAAGCATAATTATGGCTATTCGTATGCAAGGAATGATTTTTTTTTAAGAAGAAAAGATTTTTATACAAAATAAGTTAAAACAAACAAGCAACGAAGTAGAGCGAATATATATAAAAGGAGATTTGTTTTCCTGCTTGCGATTTTCCTTCAAGTAAATTGTGCGTTGGCGAGAGGAGCTTTTTTTTCTTTTTTTTGCCTGCGTGTAATTTTGAACGAACGGCCTCTCCGTGCTAAATAAAGCTACTTTTAAGACTTGAAGCCAGCGTGAATCCACGAGAGACCACACTCTTAAATCCACTGAGCCCCCCCCCCCCACAGCTCCGAAAAAAAACCCAAAATAAAATACAAAAAAATAAAAAGGGTTGCTTTAATTTATGGCGCCTCTTTGCACGAAGTGTGTCGAACCTCTCTGGGAAAATACTGATTGGTTTATTTTGCAACGTCTCAGGCTCAGGTCAACACTGACTTTTGTTGTTAAATAAAAATAAAAGAGTAAAAAATTTAAAAAAAAACGATTTTCAGTCCATGCAAAAAAAAAAAAAAAGTCATATGCAGGTGAATTTGTTGTGGTTTATAAGGACGTGATGTCAGTGCTGTTGTCCTTGTGGAGGTTTTGCAGGTGGCCGTGGGTCGGCACCGACCTGCCTTTGGTGTTGGGCAGTTTGTGGTCCTTCTTCCACTTCATCCTCCTGTTCTGGAACCAAATTTTGATCTGCCTCTCGGACAGACAAAGCGTGTGGGCGATCTCGATCCGTCGCCTTCTGGTCAGGTAGCGGTTAAAGTGGAACTCCTTCTCCAGCTCCAGAACTTGCTGGCGCGTGTAAGCCGTCCTCGAGCGTTTGGGTTCGGACCCTGTGTAATCCGGATTCACTGCAAGGGATTAAAAAAAGTTATTTATGAAGCGAAATGTGGAAAGTGTCGGGTGGTGGGGGGGGGCGCAATTGTATGGGGTTTATATGCGCGCGCACACACACAAAACCGCAATTGCAAGCACCCTTGAGCTTTTTAAGCTCTCCTGTTTCGCGGCCTGTTTCCCTCCCTCAGCCATCAAATTTACGACTCGTGTAATTGGCAAGCCCTTTCAAAAGCTCCCATAAACATCACACGGCGTGGTTTCTAAAGTAGAAGGCGATCTCACCCGTGGTGACGTGCACTTTCTTCATCCAGGGGTAAACGACCGCGGGCTGCTTGGCTTGGACTCCGTTTGGACTCTTGGCGTTCTGTTGGCCGCACGGCCTGGCTCCGGCCGCTTGGAGCGACTCGCCCGGCTCCGTCCGCGCGCCGAACGGACTCGCTTGTCCGGCTCTGTCTTGGACGTGACCCCGCGGCTGCAGCGGAGACTCCTGCACTGCGTTGCAGCCGAACGCTTGCTCCGGGTAGTTAGCGCGTGGGTAGATGGCCGGGTGCTGAAAGTCAGCGTCCTGCGAGGGGTTGAAGTAGTCTGAGCCCCTCTCAGGTATGTAGTTATTCTGCGAATATTCCTCGCAGGGAGGAAATTTGGGATCCACATACTTGGAGTTGACCATATACGAACTCATGGCCATTAATTTGTGAAGGTAGAAAATACTAATTTTTCTCCAGTTGTCTTTTTTCCTGCCTCCATAAAGCCCTCCTACTTTGGTGTCAACTGAATAAAGTTAGCGGACCATGTGACCGTGCGGGCCAATGGAGGTGACGCTGCTGCTCGCACGGGTAAACAGACAAGGAAAGAGCAATTTCATCCTCTCCAAATATGCCCCTAATTAGACTCCTGGAGGAAAAATAAACCTTCAAACATCTGCTTGCGTGCACGCCTGGAAATGAAAGGTCCCGCCGCGGGGATTACAAAACCACTTTATATCTCGAATTATGCTCAAAAAGAAGACACAAAAACAAAAAAAGTCGAGCCTCCACCACCGAGCTCGGATGCGCTTGTGGCGTTGAAAAGCGACAAAGAAGAAGCCCCCCCTGGTATACAAGCAGAGTGAGGACAATTGATGGCGACTGTCTTTGTCAAGGGGGTGTGGGGGGGGGGGGTCATCTAAAAGTTACACCAATCTCATCCCTTCATCTGCTGCCACATCTCGCAAACAATTGGCCGCCTCTGGGAATCATTCATTAAGCGCACAAACAAGAGGAGGGGAGGCGTGTGCGCCCCTTGCACGAGATTCAAACAACAACAACTTCACTGTCAAAAACAGAACTTGTATTTTTTAGGGGGTGGGGGGCTACTATGGTGATTTATGTTTGAACAACTTCAAAATATAAATTCTGAACATTTATGTCAACAACAGTTGAAGCTAAAGCTAAAGCTAGCAAGTTGTTGGCTTCATGCCTGGACGATACAAGGACGATTAGTTCTGTAAACTATTATTTCTTTGTTGAAAATACAGTAAAGACAATTTTCACATGAGCGAAACTTAAAATATATATTTTTGAATGGCCCAATTTAAAACTTTATCGACATTTCTTGCCTTGACATTTTGGGGTTTTCTTCTTTTTTTTTTTACGTCGTTGTGTAACTTGTCCTAAAACAGTCATTGAAGTTGGAAAACCTTGATCATATAATTAATTGAGTTTTAAGGCAACAATTTTAGTTGGCGAGCTCGAAAGTTGTTCGCTGAGTTGTTTTCTTGGAGTTGGGGGTTCAATACAAGGACGACAGCTCTGGAAATTCGTTGTTGTGAAACGCGGGAAAGCCAGCTGTCACAAAAAGCTTGCTTTTCAAATCCAACGAGTTGATGCGGGCATTACCCCGAGTCTATAGCTGTGCACTAAATGCGTCAGGGGATGGCGTATATACATTGAAGTCTTTTCATCGACCATATACTCCCCTAGAATCGAATCTGTGACTGGACTTGCATCACACAAATTCGGTTCTACAGGGTATATATAGACGACGGCAGGCCTTCCCGAGCAAATGAACATGAAACAATCAAAGTTGAGCTGGCGAAGAGACAAGTCAAGCAAACTTCTTCACGTGGAAACCCCACCGCAACCCCCAAAGACTTCCTTCCTGTGTGTGAGTGTGTGTGTGCGTGTTTGACTACAATTTCCGCCATTTGCCTGTTGATAATGACCCAGTTATTCCGGCCTCTTTTGGGCATTCCTCTCAATTAGAACTGTTTATTCACCTTTTCCAAGTTATATCGTTTCCTTCAGGTTTGACTTTTTTTTTTTGCAAAACAAATTACGAGCCATCTGAAAAAGGCAAAAATCAATTCAGATGTTCAACTACAAAGTTAGCATGGGGGCTATTTTTCTTTAGCTGATTTAAGTTTTATTTCATTTTTTTAAATGCTCAGATCCTCCACATAGTGCCAAAAATTCTTCATGATAAACCAGATCTTTATCCAACCTAATACTGCACCAGTATTTCACCTCCAAGTTATAGTAACTTAGTTATTTTTTTTGATGCAGGAGGCTAATCATCTAATAGTGCAATATTTCCTTCAAGAAAGACATTAAAATAATTTAAAACAATAATACATTCAATTATGCAGAACCATAAACCAGTGATTCTATATACTGTATATCCCTTGAATATCAGTCCTCATATTTTATCTAAAGAACAAAATGAATAATCAACTTAGAGCTAGAAATTAACCCTCACTCACTCAAATATTGGTTTCGCAGAATCTCTGCAGCACCTTTATTTTTATTTGCAAATAAACTGTCGATGTGTCACCCAAGTCCTGGTCATCTCCACACAGCCCAAAGTTACCCCCCTCATCCCCCCACCCCACAAAAAAAATAATAATTCAGGCCCTCTGACAGCTCAAAGGGGGCATAAGTTGACCAATTCCCTTTTTAGCCATTAACTATAAGCACAGTGGCAGCTACTTACACAGCTCGGCAGCCAAGCTTTCACTCTTACTGATTAATTATTGTGCATAATAAACATCCTTGACATTTTTTTTTTAGATTTTCGTGTCATTGCTCCAATGACCAAAACTATCCATTTGAAGTGAGCATGCATGTTGCTCCATAAGATAATTAGATAACAGGTCATGTGCCTGTAGGAAAAGGCACTAGCAGGTTCCTTATTTCCCCATATACAAAATATATATATATACATTTTTTTCTTCCAAATGGAGGTTTGCTAAACATTCTTGATTGGACAAATTGAAACAAAGATGAACGGGATGAGATTTTTGTACAGAGCATTTTAACTTGGCAAAATTCGTTCCAAATTCGTTGAAGGACAAACGTAAAAGAGGAAGATGCAAGACTATTAGCACGTGTGTGTCAGTGAGACAGGCTGACCTGTCTTTCACCTTGCCCAGGTCAGCGGCACTTGAGACGGGTCAAAGCCGAAATGCAGCACAAAAGAATCATACAGTCAGCGTTTTTCAGCGAAACGCTCCAAGCAAGTGTCTTGGCCTCTCTCCACTCAGCGGCATTTCTGGGGACTGCTGCTTTTAAAGAGGGCCAAATAAGACCGTAGAGAAGATCGAATTATTTGATGTCACACTGAGACGCGTTGTTAAATATCAGAAGGAAACTATCTTGCTAAATTCGAAACCTAGAACGTTTTTTTGGGGGGTCGTTTTTCATCACATCTCCGTCAGTTATTTTGGTTAAGAACTGAAATTAGGCAGAGAGGGTGTGCATCAGGCCCCGAGGCCACACACGACAAATAGTTTATTATATTTTTATAACGATGCGATTTTAGACAGCAGTAACGTTCATGCACCGGAGCAGCAGTGCAGATCAGCAAATTAACAACGCTGGAATGTTCCAAATCGTGACGGTTCACGAACGTATTTAAAGCCACGCGTAGAATTTGAATCACATTTGAAACAGGATAATTAAGAGGGGAAAAAATCACCATAATAAAGTCCTGTAAAACGTCATCTCCGTCATCTCCCGAACCCCTCCCAATTCCCCTCCACTCCAGCCGGCCCCATTTTCCACGCAGGAATCAGCATTCGGCGTGTGTGCGTGACATCATACGCCCATGCAGCAAATGATAAAACGCCGTCTTACCGCAGTGCCGGCGACACACACCCCAGCACGACCGGCGCCTCTTCCACCTCGGTAGCCGACACGCAGCCCCCAGCGGCCGTCCGGCCGAGCGCGCTCCTCTCCGGCCCATCTGGACCCGCTCTCCGATACACAATGCGAATTATATTTTGTCTTGTCAAGCCATGGGCCATAAAGCAAACTTTAATGGCGTCACGTGTTTCCTGCCAGCCACTCACAAGAGCGCGCGGCTCCTTAAATAATCCTCTGAAGTTGCACTTCCGCAGTAATGGCTGTGAGCCTGCGGAGCAGGCGAGGAAGAAAGGAACTAAGGAAGGAAGGACGATAGGAAGCATGGAAGGAAAAAGGAAGGAAGGAAGGAGTGAGGGAGGTCAATTTTCGTGACACCATTGGGGACACGTGCACCGAAATGCACAGCTTGCATTTAACCCCCCCCCCCCTAGAAAATAATAAAATAATATCCATTCATTTGTATGTATTCTTGCTTAATTTATATTATTATTGTTATTTTTTATTATTATTCTTAATAATAATAATAGCCATAGCAGTAGTAGTAGTTGATCCCGGAATTGACATTTCATTAAAGTACCCCTCGAAAAAAGAGTCATACCGGAACATCCATTATTTGTATTTTTATTGTAGAATTTTATTTTATTTTTATTTTATGAATAATAATAGTTTTTATCTTATAATAAATCACCGCAATAACAACGATGATGCTGATGAGTGGGAGCAGTAGAAGAAAAATATCCATCATGAATACATTTAAGCACATCTAAAAATAATAATAGATGAATAGTATCCATTGATTTGAATTGTTGTTTTTAATTTGTATTCGTTCGTGTTTTATTTCGCAGTAGTAATAGAATTAGGAGTGGTAGTACCAACTGTGATGTAGCAATTATCATTACTATCAGTAGTACTAATCGACGGGGTGATAGTAGTATTAGTAGTACTGTAGTGGCAGTACTAGTAACATGAGGGGGCAATAGTAGTAGTATTGTCATAGTAGTAGCAGTAGAAGTAGTAGGAAGAGTAATAGTAACAGAAATATTAATAGTGGTAGTATCAGAGGGACTAGTAGGAGGAGGAGTAATAGTAGTTATTCTATTAGTAGTAATTGTAGTAGCAGTAGGCTACTCTTAGTAGTCAGGGTAATAGTAGTATTAGTAGTACTGTAGTAACAGTAAGAGAAGGGCCAATCGTAGTTCTTTAGTCGTAGTAATATTAGTAGTAGCAGTACAAGTAGTCGAAAGGGTAATAGTAATATCAGTAATGGTATGAGTGGTACAAATAGTTGGAGGAGTAAGAGAAATTTGGAGAATTTCGTTCAGTTTAATTGAACACCTGCATGGCAACAGGTGGACACAAACGTCAGTTGTACCTTCTGCCATCTAGTGGAAGAACATTTAACTGTTCTGCCTGTCACTATATGTCGCTGGCACGGACAGATGAACACAGGTAGCGTGTTTGTGTACATCAATAATTATTTTCGGACCAAATAAGCACATCTGATGATCCTTCACACAGTTGTTGGGAATCACTGACTTCATTTTAGTGCCGCCCATCAAAAGTGACGTTTTACAAGCGTACAGCCAATCCTCCCCCCTGTGAGGCACGTCAAGATGATAACGTTGATGGTGATGTATTCTGCACCTCATTCATCATAAATATCCTTTATCAATTACTATATGGTTGAAGAAATACATAGCAAACTATTTTTATGGCTAAATTCATGCAGAGAAATGCAGCATTACTGTCTATGACTGTCCCCAGAGCTCCTTTGAGGAGACAGGCAAAAGTAGTCACGTGACAGTGCTTCACAGCCAATCGGAGTGCAGCTCCATTGGCAAACGGAGGCTGACTGTTGGGCAACACCGCCTCCTGCTGGAGGTTTGTGTATTGCACCCCCTCCCCCCTTTTCCACTCTCCCGACATCCAAACGTTTGTACGCTGTAGTGATGCGAGAAGAATGTTAAAGGAGGCACCTGTTGGAAATGTACATTAACTTGAACTTAATTTCGTTCAGTTTTACAATAGATTTCTTTGCCTCTGTTTGTCAGTGGCTGACTTGAAGCGTGTTTTTACTGCAATGCATGTCTAAAGCCTTTACAGGCCTTTGTGGGCAAAAAAACGTCTAATTACACATTAAACCGAAAGCGCATAACAAATGAGATAAAAAAATATGACTTATTACACTGCAAATATTTTGTGACAGTCAAACAGTGAAGGCAAATGTCTCCATTTAATCTTAGCATATTGAAATCTGCAAGAATATTCGCGAGTCCTTTGTGGAGCATATGAACTTAATCAAAGAGTAATACAAATCTAAAAGTAAAATGCATATCGAAGTCCGGAAAGATGGCATGATTCCGTGTGTTTCCAGGCTACTATGCTGCTGCTGTCTGTGCTGTGCACCCTCCATTTTGCCGCATTGCAGTGAGGCTGTAAATACTTTCGCAGCTGCCTGTCAGGCCACACTGAAATACTGTCTTTGTTCACTCGGCCCCATCTCCAACAGCTGAAATCAGCGAAACGTCACCCCCACCCCCAACACCCAGCAAAAAGAAAACTAAAACAAAACAAAATAAAGAAACGGTTTGCATTAGGAAGCTATTTTGATGTCAACGTGACAGAATTGGCAAGAACAAGTTCGCTAAACTAGTCCAGTTTTAAGCGTTTTTACACTCTACACACTTTTTAAACACACTCTATTCACAAACAATAATTTCAAATGCATGTCGTACATTCGTAATGACAGGAGAAATGACTTGAAATGAAAAAAGAAACATCTCAGACAGAAGCAATCGATTGCTTAAACTGTCATTCGTGGACAATCGAAATCGCTCTTCGTTTCTTTAAATAAAGACGTTGTCACTATACATCCCCAAAAATAGAATGATGATGATTATTAGCTCATCTGCACAGTGCGTCCAAACGACCTGCCACGCACTGTTCTGCTTGGCATATGCAACAGGAAGCTGTCAGATTTCCCATGCAGTCGCGTGCACAACAACTTACAAATCGATGGCGGATAATCCATGTTTAATCGTCGACGTGGACTCGTTTGCATTGGACGTTGCCGGATCTGAAGTTGACCTCGATGAAGCGAGGAGGCGACTGGCAATTTTGACATCGTATCGCTTTGGAGAGCATATAGACGCAGAATGAGGTGATGGAGGGAGGAGGGGTACGTGGGATGGTAGGGAGGGTGGAGGAGGAGGGGGGGTTCAGCCTGCCTGCCTGCATGGGAAATGAGCAAAAGAGCCATGAAGACGTTTGCTGCCTCGCACACATGACCAGTGTCATCCAATGACAGGCCATAGAAGCTCATAAAGGCGTCGAGTGCCAAGCTGTAAATTGTGCTCTCACAAAAAAAGGAATTTCCACTGCAGTAACTCTTCCTATTTTTTGGCGCATAAAGGCAAGGGGCCCAAGCAGGCTCCTTTTCGCCTTCTGCTGCCTAAAATCTACAAAATGTTACCACTAAAGACGAGAAGTTATATGGAGCCATGCATTTTGAGATTTAAAAAAAAAAGAATTGCGTAAGCAACCTAGCCTAATAGTATAATTACCTTGCTCTATTCTCGACCTTTTGAAGATTTTTTTAAGAAAAAAAGTCCAGTTGACTCGATTCCCCACAGACATCAATCCCCCTACAATCTTTAGTGAGCACATGGATATATTTTTGTTGTGTCTGTAAATTAAAGATGACTGAGGCAAATATGTTATTCGCCCCCCAAAATTATATGTGTATGAGACTGCGCAGTATTTACAATGTGCATCAATACAAAAAGACCTCATTTCCCCAACCTCAGGCTTTTAATTTCGAACCAAGCAAAATCCCACACCAGGAGTTTACATATAATTAAAATGATTGTCAACGAAAATACATTTTTTGCTCGTGTCTAAAAGGTTTCAAGTCGTGCTGTTGTGCATGATTAATCTTGGATTGCAGGCTTTCTGTTGCTGTACCTTTTTGATTTTTTTGTTTTTATTCGCACTGCGGGCCAGTTCTGTGTTTTGTGTGAGTGTGTGTGTGTGTGTGTGTGTGTGTGTGTGTTTTGGTGTGCGAGTGTGTGTGTGTTTCATCCTTTGGTCCTTTGAAATTGGAATAAACGTTAGATTGCAAATAAACCCCATTGAAAATGTTTAAAACAATAGAATGGAGAAGGCTATTTCATCATCCTGATAACATAATTTATATATATATATATATATATATATATATAGCTGCTAAGCTTGAAGCCCATTCCTTAAATGTAACAGTAAGAGATAAAACATACATGACTGTTCTATATTATTAATATTATTAATCTTTTTTCTTTCATTTCTATTACATTTATGATAATTTCTATTAGAGTTACAGCATCTTCGGTAATATGATTTGGGCGCTGATTGGCTAGTAGAAATCACATGGTCTGACGGCCTTGAAGCGAGGTAGGCCGTGTACCATTTTCAGATAATAGGGGATCTTCATTCTTAAAATGATATTTCAAAGAATAGACATTTTTACATTGTTCAAAGAAGTCTGTTGTACTTTTTTAAATCTTTAAATTTCATTTCTTGTTTTATAACCAGCCTCAATCAGTTCTGCTTGGTTTATCAGCGTATCAAAACCAGACCCAAGCCAGCAGACTACAAAAATTATTGGCTCGTGACAAGTAGCGTAATAAAACAAAGAGCAAAAAAAATAGCTGTGTTGAAAGCCCCCCTCCCCACCCCCTCCAAAAAAAAACAATGCTCATTAATATCGCAAATTTGCAACACTCAACCTAACATAGTTTATTTTTCTTTATTTTGTGTTTGCCACCACTGTGTTGCTCTTTTTAACACATTTGTTTCAACAAAAATATTAAGTTTAGTCTTTTACACTTGACACGCAGAACGTGTGCATCCGCTCTCTTGGAAACGCGACACACGCAATAGTGTGACGTCACACGCAGGCGCCCCAATAGAACGTCACACTTGTGCTTTTGTCCTGCAGAAGAAAATATTGTCTTCGAGAATCTCACAGGAGCAACCTGTATGCCAGTAATAATAATCCTAAAAGTACCGTACATCGAACGATAACCATTTTTAATTCCGTGTATTATAATTATAGGCTGCTATTTGCCAAATGTAATTGCCCAATATACATTATATACATTTTTTTAATTGTTCACGATGTTTGATTTATTATTTAAATAATAATAATAACAAAAATAATAATCATAATAATAATAATAATTTTATTTTCATGTAATGTAACCTAAAGGATATTATTTGGGACGAATATTTTCCTAACCAGAGGCCATTGCACATTTTTATCGTCTTCTGAGGGCCTGGAATAAATATATGAAAACAACAGCATACAATTCCAACGCACAAAAGCTCAAAATATGTGGGTAACACGTTTTAGTGCTTTTTCTGACCGTCTCTCTAAGGCTGTATTATGTTTTGAGTGTTGCACGGCTGAGTGGATCAAATGCTATCACGGATCCAGGAGTCTTGTGGTTCTATTTGCTATAGTGCAGCAGAATACCACGTTAGTGATGAGCTATTCTTTTTCTACTTTGTAATTTAGCACAGTTCGAAAGTGGTGCGGAAGCTAGAAAATGAAAAGTGCACGAATTAATCCTCGTGATTGATCCAAGTGATTGTAATTAAGGCGACTAATCACTCTGAGCCTTAATATAACATGCTTTATACTGCTCCATTAGTTTAGATTTCCTGTAACAGCCTCACATTTTTCCTCTTGGCAGGCCTCGCTTTTATGACAAACGATTAAACGACTGTTGACCTCGCAACACACACACACACACACACACACACACACACACACACACACACACACACACACACACACTCAGGCATGGCAACCGATTTCATCTCTGTATTTGTATAAAGAACCTATGGGCTTGCAATTTAACGGAGTACAAATAGTCACTGCACATTTTTTTTAAATCCATTGCTTCGTTGTTTATGTTGCTGGCAACTTTCACTTTTACTCCATTACAACCACTGAATAAATTGGATGCTTTTATTTGATACTTTCCCCTTATCCATCATCATTCCTACTTACAACAAAATAAAAAAAGTATTGTGTAAATCCTGAACTGCGTAGAAGAGTCCTGCCTGTCTTATTATGGTCGCTCTTTCCGGTTTGAGGTCAGTTGATGCCAGGACAGATCTTTAACTGCACCACTGAAGAAAACAAATCAATATTAGTTAAAAATAGATACCCATTTCCTTTTTTGAGTACTTTTTCTTCCATTAGTCTAACTACATTACACATCAGAATATCACTTTTAGGTTTACCAAATGTCAGGCACGTTAGGACGACTTTCATGCAAGTAATATTCAACAATTCTTTGACCTCAACCAAAATTAATTTCTGTTAAGATTAAGTACTTTTACTTTTACCCAAGTATGACATTCGGGGACTTGTAAGACTTTTACTCAAGTAATATTCCACAAGATGAGTTTAACTTATATCAGAGTTATTTTCTTTGAAGATGCTTTTTTTTTTATTTTGAGTACTTTTTCTTCCATTAGTCTAACTACATCACACATAAGAATATCACTTTTAGGTTTAGCAAATGTCAGGCACGTTACGACGGCTTTCATGCAAGTAATATTCAACAATTCTTTGACCTCAACCAAAATTAATTTCTGTTAAGATTAAATACTTGTACTTTTACCCAAGTATGACATTCAGGGGCTTGTAAGACTTGTACTCAAGTAATATTCCACAAGATGAGTTTAACTTATATCAGAGTTATTTTCTTTGAAGATACTTTTTTAAAATTTTTTTATCGAATTCAAGTACTTTATAGAAGACTCATATCACTCTTGTATATGCTTCCATACATTTTCTATGAGTTAGGCTGTAGCCAAATATTTGTAGTATAAATGTTTCCACTACTTATTACAACGTATAAAAAGTATGGACCATCATATTTTATCAGATATTATTATTTAAAAGAAGCAATTGTTTTACTTTACAGTTCTTCCTATATGCATGATTATCTTACTCGTAACTACTATCCAGTTTTGTCCGTTGGTTTTGTAATTATATAAGCCAAATGACATCACGGGATACAGGGATCATTATTACGATTAACATTTTTTTGTCCTTTTTAACATCTTTTAATCAAAGTGTACATGATTGATCCCTCCTTTTGTCGCCATTTTGTTTCGTTGACACTCAAAGAGCCACAGCGCCCTCTAGCGCCAAATGGCGACTCTAGTGATCGTGTGAAAAAACAGAACACAACTGTGACCTAACCCCAAAAAGTTAATTTTGTGTCTTCATTCCGCATTAGGCGGGACTATGTAGCACAAGGGGGGGGGGGGGGGGGGGGGGGGGCGCAGGGGGGGGGTGGGGTGGACGACGTCGTCGAAGTGGAGTTTAGTTTCCCATCAGTGGGGCCCAGAGTTAAGGAATTAACGGCATGAGCACTAAGATGTGGGGTGATTTCCTGTGCAAGAATCCATCGGCCAGACACCCTTGTGTCCACATTTGGATTATCAGCAACACACGCACAAAAAAAAAAAGAAGGGCCCGGAGAGGGGAAAGGAGGCTTCAATAGGATTCGATGTAATTACTGACTGCCAGTACCAATAAACTCATTTAGGCCAGACGTCTCGCCATCTCTATGGCTTTATTTCTTCCTGTTCTAAAGTCATTAAAAGCCCACAAACTGGACAATGATATCGGCCGATCATAAACACCCCCATTGAAAAGTCTCCAATGAAACTTATTTGGGATGAGACGCGAAACACTCGGATCATTTGAAGCATGCCTCGTTCGCAGCACATGAGGTGACATTCATTTGGAATTACGATCGTCAGATTTTACAGAAAAGTATTCTTTATGTAGCTTACTATTTATGTCTCTGTATGTAAAAGGAAAGACATATAAATGTGTACGCACACACACACACGCACGCACACACACACGCACACACACACACACACACACACACACACACGCACGCACACACGATTAGGTACATAGAAGAAATCACCAACTTCGAGGCTCTCCTGAATATTTTATAAATATTTTAGATATATCTATGAGTTTGCAAATATGTTTTCACTTCTAAGCTTGTTGGCCAAAAAGCGGCACACGCACGCGCACACGCAAGCTTTATGCACGTTCAATGCACGCATGCCTGCTAAAAAAAAAAAATGGGTTCACCAAAAGACAGTGCGTCGTAAAAAATGTTGATATACAACGATCGAACAGCTAAAAACAACCCGTGGAGACACACACACACGCACACAGATGCACGAATGACTACCTCCAAATAAACGTGCAATTCTATCAGAAAGGTCAGATGTATTAGTGATAAACATTGTTTATTACTAAACGCATCGCACACACACACACACACACACACACACACACACATTTTGTGTGTCTAATGCACGCTGCCTGCCTCCAAATGTGTTCCAACAGAAAGGTCAGACAAAAGAACGGTGAAAAATCTTTATATACAACTAAAAGCAAATATAGGCCACACGTAAACACACACACACTCGCGTCCCTTTTTGTCACCTTATTCAATTGCAAAAAAAAAAAAAAAAAGATCAAGTGAGAAATGATGGCTTCGCTGGAACGTGATCCACAGTGTCTCTTGGGTGCCTTGAAATCAAATCATAGAAATTGTGTTTTTTTTTTTTCAAAATAAAAATCCAAACTTGTCCTGAGTGCAATCCTATAGCTGCTCCTTTCCGCCTCTCTCTCGGTTCATCTTCTTCATTTTCATCCTGCGGTTCTGGAACCAGATCTTGACTTGCCTCTCGCTCAGGCTTAGGATGCGGGCCACCTCGTAGCGCCGGTCCCGGCTCAGGTACATGTTGTACAGGAACTCCTTCTCCAGCTCTAGAGTCTGATATTTGGTGTAGGGACAGCGCTTCTTCCGACTGGAGCGTGCGTGGATCCAGTTCGCTGCCGGGTTGCCTGCGTGCACAAATTGGGAGCCACAAAAAAATAAATAAATAAATAAATAAATAAATAGGATTGTTTTTGGAAACACAAGAGAACCCTACATTCCCATCCAGGTGTTTCCTTACGAGCATCTATTTCGGGAGTGTTGTGATTGACCCCCCAATGCGCGCACAAAAAAGTGCAGAATCCTGTGTAATAACTCAAAAAAAAAAAAAGAAAACAGGGCGGGTTCCGTCCGTACTGGGCCGCGGTGTAGCAGTGGGCTCCAGGACACTTTTATGGGTCAGTAAAACATCCCGTTTTACGCAGTCAGCTCACACAGTTATAAATCAGCCCTGGGGGCGATTTGCATGCATGCGCTTCTACTTACTTGGGTCAACTTGTTTCTCCTCTTTGGGCTCGCTGTGGCTGGAAAGTTCACTTCCACTCTGCGCCCTCTCCGGACCTTCGGGGACATCCTCGACAAAAGGCCGACTTCGAGGCTCCTGGCCCGGCTTGGCGTCGCGGATCTTCGGCGGGGAACGCTCCGGCTTCGGAGCACAGGGCGCGCGTCGGCCGGGGGGGAATCCGGCGAAGCGGGGGACGAGGTCGGGGACCGGGTCCATCCAGGGTCGCGCCCCAACGCCTCTTGGGGCGGACTGGTGCGCGT